AGACATTTTTACACCAATGCCAGACTGATTCATTCATTTGATATGAATCATCTGATGACTTTGGTCATACTGACCTTTCTTAGTTGACCAAAACATCACATATTCCCCAAGTGTTTTGTGGAAAGGCTGGGAATAGAGAGTAGCGTTTCCCTTTGAGATGGGAGCATTTAAGTGGCTTCATAAGAGAGTGTGTGTCTGTGTGTGTGTGTGTGTTGTGGGTCGTGAGAGACTGTGCCGTGGGTGATACTCACTGGGTTGTGGTTAACTCGCTGCTATGGAAACAGCTATTCACTAGTTGGGACAGAAAGCTTTCACCCGGTGAGCCTCATAAAAGCTGGGCACAAACTGTTGGACGCAGACGGGCTCTGAAAGGGCCTCTCTCTGCTGCTTAATATATCTGCTTTAATTTGCCTTTGTGTGCTGGGAAAAAGGCCTCGACGGCGAGGAACGTTCAGGATTCAGACGCTGCACAATGGGGCCCTGAATTAAAGCACTGCTGTTTTTTAGCCCCGGATGAATGTGATAAATGTACACATGTGGACTCAAATCTCATAATTTGAGGCTTTTTAAACATACTGTCTTTTTATTAATTGATGAATCTCACAAAACCTCTTAAGAACCAGGGTTATTCTAGTTCACTTAAACTGAAACTAAAATTAAAAACAAAAAAATTTACTTGAAATAAAATATAACAATTTGCTAAGGCAACACTTTTTAATTTAGTTTAACTTTATAGGCCTATACTAAAATAGCTAAAATTGAAATAGAAATGAATAAAAACAATAGATACAATATACACAAAAAAATCCAAAAACTAATAAAAATGACAGACACAACAAAATAACAAACTAACTAACTAAAATGAAAATGAAAACTGAAAATATAAAAATAAATAAACAATTAAATGAAATGAAATGAAATGAAATTTAAAAAAAATTTCAAAACCCAAAATAAATAAATATTTTAATAAAGGAAAAATAAACCTATTATTTTATTTTATTTTATTATTTTTTACAATGCGACTTTTCATGACAATTAAGCACAGTTCTCCCTCCAGGATCAAAATAAAATTTTACTTCATACTTAGTAATATATTTTTCTAATTACTGTAATGTGACATTAGTTTGAAATAATTAAAATATTTAAATAGTTTAAATGATTAACATTGATATTTTTGTCATTGCAGTATTTTTTAATTTTTACAGAAATAAATCCTAATGAAAATGTTGAGAATAATCAGAATTATAAACACATTACGATAATGACAATATCAGGACTGTAATGCCACAATGGCAAAAGTCTTCCTTTAAAAATAATTAATTAATTAAATAAATATTTTATTTATTTAAATAATTATTTAAATAAATTATCATTTTTACATTTATTTAAATAACAGTTTTTTTATGTTTTGAAAACTGCTATATGACTGTCATGATACTATAAAATGTAGTTAAATTTGCATTGTCACTACTTTCATTTAGTTACTATCAAACACTGCTGTACGTGCATTAAATTCTTTTTAAATATACTGCTGATTAGTTTCACAGCACAGTATTTTTCTTTCATGTCTTGTTTAAATGAGGCTTTGGTTCATGTCCTTTACACATGTAAACTATAAATCATGACATGTGTATCATTACTGTACAGCAGCTCATGTGAGCCACTTCATCAGGCCATTATCAGTCATCAATTATCATTTTGGATGGTCCAGAACTGACCACACTGTTATAATTAAGGCGATGAGCGACTAACAGAAGGCAAACATACACTCATGGCTCCATTAGATATTAATGCCTGTTTTTTCCAGCAGGATTTCTGCAGTGTTTTTTTTTTGTTTATGGTCTTTATTCTTGTGTGCATGCATTCTCTGTTTAATAAACCAACCAACAGCCAAAGTTTGCATATATTTTTTATTGGTTTGTTTGTTTGGAGATCTGGAGCAGAACTTTTTAAGTACTAATTTAACATCTTCAAACTGCCCAGACTGAGCAGACAACACACACACACACACACACACAC